TGTGTGTCTGCAGGACATTCAGCAGGTAAAAACCCCCGAGGAGCTGGAGAACTTCATGCTGAAACACGGGGAGAACATCATCGACACCCTGGGGGCCGAGGTGGACCGCTTAGAGAAAGAACTCAAGGTGCTAAGATACGAGACTGTGTGCTCATTCAGTTTGTTGTCTGGCTGATGCTACGATATAACATGAGTCTTGTGTTTTGTTTTGTTTTTTATAACTACATAATACAATATGACTTATTTGCACGTTGGATGTAATCTGTAAGAATTGCAAGCTAGGTTTGTGTGTAACTCTGTTTTGTGCCCCCATAGCAACGTAATCCGGAGGTCCGTCACGTAGACTTGGAGATTCTATAACACTCCCAGCTCTCTGCTGAGGAAACATCCTGCTGTACCAACAAGAGCAGCAGCAGCAGAAGAAGAAAAGATGAAAGGAGGGCCCAGCCTGCCTCTACAATCTGCCTCCCATTCTGACCACCACAACAAACCCGCACAAGTCTTACTGTAGAATAGTCCCGAAGGATAAGCATGGACAGTGTTTGAGCAGCGCTTGAACTTCAGTTAGCAGAGTTCAGCCTGCCACAGATCCACGTTCACATTCAAGTGTTTCTGGAGAAAAGACTGCTGACTGTCATTAGCCTCCTTGAATTTCAGTAGAAATTCTGACACACACACACCTCCTGACAGTTTAGTCTCCTGGTGCTTTGCTTGAACTCACATTCCTCCATAAATGTGTTTTGGCCGTGGTTGACATCACGTCTGTTTCAAAAGCAAAACCAAGAGCAGGACCAGTATCATTTACTCGACTCGTACTTTACTTTAATGTTATGCTTGAACCACAGTGATAGTGTTTCCTTCATTAGTGCAGAGGAAACCTAAGAGCTACATACTCAAACAGACTTATTTAAAGGCTAGATAATATTAGATGTTTGGTTGTTTGTTTTTTTTCATTTATTGTTAAAAAAAGAGAAACTGAAGATGGCACAGTGCTTCGGGTTCTGTAATGAAGACAGAATTTGTGATGAATAGATTTTACTGCTATTACAGAAAAAAATATGCAAATTGAATGGTATTGAGACTTTTCATTGATTTGTATAATAGAGTTCAAGAGTCAAGTGAAGCTGAATACAGTAGCATTTAATGAGCATCAGCTTATGCAAGAAGAAAAAAAAACAACAAAAAAAAAACTGTTAGAAAACAGTGTTACAACATTATACATCAAGTTAAATGTTTTATTAAATATTTATTGGACATCTTTTCAGATTACAAGATTGAACATCTTCCAAGCCAAGAAATGACATTCTAAGCATCTCTTCTCTTCCCCTTTTCTCTTTGCCGGCTACAAACTTCTCCAAGGTTTTTAAGGTTTACAAACTTCCTGTGAGGTTTTCCACTGATCAGCAGATTGTATTGATCCAAAGATGAAGTACTGGAAAGGATGTCTGTGCCCCACGTGCTCCACCATGTGTAAATAAGTGGTCTTGATATTGACAAAAACAAACAGACTAGCTGCATATTTTCTCGGTCTGCAAAAAAACATCTGTCAAATCCTTCCAATCAAAACAAGTCATTCAGGATGTCACCCTGTGCAGTCCGTGTGCTCACATTATCAAGTGAACTGTCTCCTACTCGGTGTTTCTGCTGAATAATCTCTAAAAAACATACGGCGACTGTGCTTTTTTTTTTTTGCTTTGGCTGCCAGCGCACAGTCACAGCTGCAGCATGGGACACACCTGCCTGCCTGCCAACATCTTTGTTCTGCTTCAGGAGGTGGGCCAGAGCCGTCTCATCTTTGCTGGGAGGGTGGATATATATTTTTGAAGGTGTTAATAGTGAAATATTTTCCCTTTGGTTGTAACTACGTAGTCACTGCTGAAGGACTTGGAATAAATTTGAAATAATTTATTAAATTATTTTTGCTTTCCTTTTCTCTTGTGGGCTTTGGGTGTCTTCTTCACATCTCATCTGTGCTGTGTGGGTAATGTGTTCATCAACTTCTTTAAGATGTCTGGTTCTTTCTGAGGCTCCACACTTTCTCTCTGGACTGTGAAGACAGAAGAAGCTGGGCATACCGCTTGGAGGGAGCTTCCTCTGACGATCTTTACACATATGGAGCGATAAAGAGGTACGTTTTTTTCTTCTTCTTTGAATTGGAGGCCTGTTTCCTGTTTAAAGCTCAGATGGCTGACTGGAATGTAAACCCAAGTCCATTAGATGGTGCAGTTGTGGGGATGAGAGAGGGGGGCACTAGCCTGTACGCTGACGTCAATAAAAACAGTCATTTCCAACCAGTCTGCGCATTGACCGACCGTTCAAAACATTACGCACAGCATCGCGGCCGGACCACGCTAGACTACTCGACTGAAATAATTTTTTTCGCCGAGCCCCGGAGAGCGGAGACAATGCGGACAAATCTCCATTGCAGGTTTTTACACCATTGAATGTTGTCTTAACATTTTTGGGTGTTGCGCGCATATCAGTGTCATGTCTCGTCATACCATTCCCAAGTCAGTTGTGCCAGTGCCACTGCCCATCCTGTTTCCTTTCATGTCTCCCCTTCCTCACAGAAAGAAAGGCTCGCTTGTGCACGTTAATTAACAACAACAACAAAAAAAAGAAAGAAAAAGAACAATCAGATCCTTGGGCAGATTTGGCTCGTTTTTTTTTTTACAAAAGAAACATGCGTCGAGACGCGTCTGGAGATCACCTCTCACATCTCCGGTCCTCCTGCACATCACACCGCCGCTTTCTCAATCATTAATTGGCTGATTTTATTTTTAAAAAATGAATCTGTGTTTGTAATATTATCGATGGATTTTGGGTTTTTTTTCTCGCGTCCCCCTCCACAGTCTTTTCGTCTCCAACAGCCCACAGATGGGGGCGCAGTAAACCTGCACAGTTGGGGTCTCAGATTTTCATGAAACCTCCCCTCCATCACCACAAGCCTGTGGTTACAAAACCCCCAAACCCCATCACTCTTCAGTGCGGGATTGAATTAAGGAAACGAGATGTTCTGTCTGTGCAGCAATGCAATCACCTCTCATTGTCAATGCAAGGGGAAAAAAAGAAGAAGAAGCGAGCCTCATCAATATGTTATGTTGTGTCTTTGCTGCTTTTTTTTTTTTTTTTTTTTTTTTCATATTTCTTGAATGATCGATTTTGGTTTCAATCCCAGGTGCAGGAGCGTCTAGAAGCATCCAGGTGGTGTGTGATGGCGGAGGAGCCTCATCTCCATCACCCTGCTCTACGCTTTTAGCCTCTTTACAGTGCTGCCTTGTCTAATCATGTTCAAGCAGCATTGTACAGGGCTATGACAGCATAGAGAGCTGTGCTGCGTTTCTCTGACCCCGTGGAAATCAGCCAACAAATGACATCATCCGTGAAAGAAATTGAAAGAAAAAAAAAAAAAAACAACACAGTTAATCGGCGAAAAAAAAAAAAAAAAAAACAACACAGTTAATCGGCGCGGATTGCGTGAGATCTCGCGTCTCGCTGCAGAGTGACTCGTCTTTGGATGCTGATGCAGTCAGAAAGTGAAATGCATTGCTTTTCTTTGGGGGGGTTTAAAGACAAGTGGAACACATGAAGTTCTCCTCGGGTTGAATTATTCAGTCTAAGTCCCTTTTGCAGCCAATACATTATTGAACCGATCGGTGACATTTCATTGTGCTGCTTCTGTGTGAGGATCACACTGTGCATCCTCACATTAAAGTCCCACAGCTCAGAATTAAAAGAAAAATAAATTCAGTGCGCTCTGAAAAACCCAGCAGGTCATCCAGCAACTTTTTGAAGTTTTTTTTTTTTTTTTTTCCCCAGATTTTTTTTTTTTTTTTTTTCCCCAGAATAATTTAAAATGCACAATAATGAGGATAAATAAAAGATTTTTGTGTTTTTGATCATTCCTACTTAAGGCAAAAACCATCATCAAAATGTTTGTAATAACTCACTGGCTGATGTTTCTGTCCAGTGTTTTACAGTGTCATACAAAATGCCTTGTGAATATCATTGATGTGTAATTTCTGGCTATCTGGAACACAAATATGGATTTTATTGTTTAGAAAACAGAATATTTTTCATCCACAAACACCTTCAGAAGTGTTAAACGACCTCCTAGACTTGTGAAAGACTGCTGGGTTTTTATTTCTGTTGTAATCGCACGTGTAGCTCTGTGATTCAGATGTAATGACGACACATGATAGGCTGTTGAGTTGGTAATATGATTGTATGTATATATGCTGATCGACCATAAACATGTGAAGTAATATTAAAACATTTGTTTGATTCCTTTGATTTACTCCACTGTTAGTGTGTGCCTTTCATTTGTTCTAATAAACTACTGTGCTGAAGTTTCAGGCTCTAAAAGTTAAGTTTTAAGGATAATCTTTGTCTATTAACATGCATATAATCAAGGCTTGACTTGAAGGTACAGACTGGTGTGTGCAGGCTCTGTGGAGGCCATCTGCTGCAGGACTCCTTGTTCTTGTTCATTACTGAAGTTCTGGCTGTACATTTGGGGTTGTTGTCATCAGCAGACTAAATCTGAGGCTGGTCAGATGTTATTGCATAATGGAGAAGAATCTAAACATTTAAAGTGGCTGAAAGGCTAGCATGGTGTGTTCATTTGTTATTTTAGGTTTGAAGGGTGCTCTGTGCTCCACTGTAAACAGCGTTCCGGTTTCCTGCCTTCTGCTGGCTGCAGATTGAATCCTTGGCTTTCGCTCTCTGTCCTGAGTGTGTGTTAACCCTAACTCTGTCTGATATGGGATTAGTAATAAGAGCGTCGTCAATGAAACAGCCTCCTGACTAATTAACTAACAAGCTAAGGTTTACCAAAGGGGAAACTGGTCCACGACTCCTCAGCGGGCAGACCTGTTGACAGACACAAACTTCTCGATGAGTGAAGTGAGAAACCTGATGTAATGAGCACATTTGCGCCAACACGTTCACGTCATGAATGACACAAAGATTCAACGTACCCATATCAACAACACCAAATCCACAAATTCACAGATTTTTATTACAAATTCCCACAAATTGTTATTTCTTTTTTCTAACTAACAATGGCCGTGGAGGAGGGGTCCTGCCGTGCTGGATTTCACTGTCCGGGTTGCAGTCCAGTTCCGGTTCCTGTGTGGGCTCCTGAAGAGGGAAGAAGGGATGTTGGTTCAGGCACTTAACATCCTCACTGGCTGCAGCTCACGCAGGGCTGCAGGCCGTTCTCGTTGCAGGAAGTGCACTTGAGGGCTTTGAAGGAATCCGTGAAGCAGTTGCGAAACACGGACATCTTGCTGCCATGGCACGTTGGGCACGGGATGAAGGCAAAGCCCCCGCAGGTCTGGCACGTCTGGGGATGCTGTACCCTCTGAAAAATGCATAGATTGTTTTTTATGTTCTAGAAAAGATGTCCAACATGAAATATTAACACCAAAGTATGTACATTCCTTGCACCAAATATGGTAGTTTTTTCCTGTAGACTTTTTTTTAAAGGGATATTCTGAAGTTTACTTGCTAGTTTAGTAGAACGACTAGAAATGCTTGCCTGTCTCTGTCCAAAAGTTAAAACAAGTCTGACTACCAATACTTCAAAGTGTAATAATGAATACATTACATCTCATTTGTTTAATCTGTGTAAAAACTGAGTTGTATAAAAGACTATTTGTGGTTTCATAGTAAACAATGAGCTGTACTGTTCTTCTGCAGTGACTACCTTCAATAAGAAATAATATCCAACATATGCTGCTTTCATGTTAAGTTTTAAATCTGAGCAGCACTTTTCTGCAAAACTACCTTCCACTTAAAACGTAAAAACAGCGACAGATGTTGCAACAAACTGTTGGAATGGCTCCAAAGCCTTCATCTCTTACAGTCACATCTAAATAAAACCCAGTGTCAACATTAACATTCTCTTCGACTAAACAGGAGATACATACAGTTTGCTTCTATCACTTGTTAACAAGCTGCTCCAATTAGATGATACTACACGACTAATTTACAGTGGCGTTGTTCGCCCCGAGTGCTTTACATTACAATCATTCATTAAAACCTGGAACATAAAATACTATGATAGACATTTTGTATAAGCACACCGGTTACAGCTTGTCATTGTTGGTAACTGGTGGTGGCCAGTTAATGAATTCACTAAACTAAGAAAAAAACATCAGATATAAGCTTTTGTAAGAAGCTAAAGGATGAGGAACAACATCCTGATGAGGGCAGAGGACGTGAACAAAGAGTTATTTCCTTGTTAGATAAGCTATCACTCCGCCAAACTTGGACGATGATTATTTCAGCAGTACAGACAGCAGATTTGGTCTGATTATTATTAGTTATATATTTGATTGTTTATTGTGCTATAAGACTTTATGGGGTTTTCTCACACCAGCACCTGCTTCTCTTATCCAGAGCTATTTAAAGGCCCGTACACCCAGATTACAGAGTAATAATAACCTACAAGATAAACCTACATGACTCCAGCTGGCAGCTAAAACTGGAAGCCAATGTCTGGCTCAGTGGTTCACAAACATCTATGTCACAGGACGCACCTTCACATACGATTGTAGTGCTGCAAATCATTGTAACACTACTTCCAAGGCACACAGTTTGAGAACCACTGGTCTTGCAAGCTTGTACTCTCTGTGACATTAATGTGGATCTCGGCTAAAGACATTTTCAGACTTTGCAGAAAGCACAATGCCTCACATTTTAAAGTTATTTTTACTCTCTAAAGATTTCAAAGTCTGCAATGTTTCAACATCCTAACAGCACTTCTAATGTAATTCAGTCAAATGATGAGTACAAGGCTGGCAGCGGGGTTAGCCTCATGTAAACACTCCCAACAGGATGACTTCTGTATGGATGCAGCAGTAATTTGCCATTTTTATACTTTGGTTTATGCACAGATTAAATAAACATGGTGAATGATGTAACATGGTAATTAGTGAGCTCCAGAGGTGTTAGTTGGTAGATCTCGTTACCTTTGGAGAGGGCTAGGCTGACCTTTTTCTCTCTGTTTACAGTTTTGATGCTATTTTTTTCTCCTGGCTGCAGTTTTATATTTAATGGACAGGCATCTTACCCCTCAGCTCGAAGGAAAATTGTATTTCCCAAATGCCAATCTATTATTTAAACACAACTTCACTTCCAATTTTTTGGGGTTCGTGTCTCTGCAGATATTAATAGACAATAAAGTCATGTCTGTAACCAGTTCTGGACTGATTAGTGTATGCATGACCTTTCAGAGCTGCATACTTTTTAATAGCCTGCAGTGACTGGAATGCATGACTTAAATGTCATCATACTGCTTTGTATTTGCTTAGGAAGACTTTTTTTTTTTAGGGGGGGGGATCTGAGCTCCAAATTACATCCAGAACCTGAGGAAAGGCCACTAACTGACATTGTTGTAGTTCAGTGAGAACATCAGAAATAGTTAAAGTCTCAGTTTGTACTGCGGAACGATATGCTCTGCGTCACTGTGTTCAAACAAATGTGTTAGCAGCAGAATCAATAACAAGCCCTCCATTATTGATGGTCGCTTATTGATGTGCATGCATTTTTTACGTTGCAGTTTGCTCATGTTTTATTGATGACATGACCAGTGTGGGCAATATGACTGCTCCAATTTTGCACTGTGTTCATCTCAATGACATTGGACAAACACAAGCTGTAAATTATTATGGCTATAACACCTTATGCTTAAATATTACATGTGGTACAAAGAATATACAGGGTAATATTTTCCAGTAAATCCGAGAGGAAACATCTGAATAATTTAACATCAGTGTGAGTCAAACCAAGTGGTTCATTTTCAACAAATTCACATGGAAATCATCTATTTGACAATCATCAGTTATTCACATTTCAAAGGCAAGAACTGTGAAAACCAACCTCAATTTTTGTCAGAAGATCTTGCAGCTCTCCTGATTCATTCATGCCAAGGATTTTCTCAGCACCCTGCAGCACAAGTTTAAGGCCAAAAATCAGTCTTTAATGAACCCTGAGCGGACACACGAGATTTAGATGCCAGGTAACATTAGAACTGAGTGGTAAGAACTGACCCCAAGGTAGTGTCCATCGATGAACACGACGGGTAATGAAGGAGGTTCTCCCACGCGTTTGCAACGTTCCTCCAGCTCCTTCCCGTACTCGCTGTCCAGGGCGATGTTCTTCTCCACAAACTTCACCCGGTGGTTCTGGAAGATCTTTCTGACCAGCTCGCAGCGCTCAAAGGTCGTCCTCACCACACGAAAGCTTGTGGTGTAGATCACAATCCGCCCGAACTCAAGAGATAACTCCACCTGTGAGGGTGTAAGGAAACTTAATGCAGTTATACAATTAGGTGTTATTATATTTTCCTCGTATTTTCTTATTCAGAACTTTTGAAATGAACTCTGCATAGATTAAACCAGAGGGATGTGTGGTGATGAACGTACCACAGGCCTGTCAGATTCACTCAGGAAACCTCTTTATCAAAACCACCTCTCATTCTCATTTAAACCTAATCTTGTTTAACACTTCATTACATAAAAGTGGATATTGAAATATTCATTCATTCAGCTGAACCATGTTTAGATAGGTTTGGGGATGTTTGTTTATTTAGGCCACAAAATTTACTATCTATATGTTACTTTCAGCAGTTTATCTACTTCTAGCGAACAGTTTCAACTGTTAGCTTGTACTGTTAGACCCGATTCTTTAGTTGGAAGCCCAAGAACAAGCCGGAGAAATCTTCAGTTCTCAGATGTAGAATTTATTTTAGGTCACAGGTAAAGTTTTGCAGCGCTGGATTCAGAGGGACAGAGAGGAATCTCATGTCCAGCTGAACTGAGGTTTTTCGGTTCCAGGTTACAGATATCTTCTTGGGCTGGGCTAGAATACATAATAACTCGAAACTTAACTAATAATAAGAACCATAAGCTTCATGGAAAAATACAGACTCAGAATACATAATAGCTTGAAATTAATTATAACAGTACCGTGAGCTAGAAATTCCACTCAGGCAGCCATATTTTTTAGGTAATGATTAAAACAGTTTGGACTGTTAATATATACTGTTAGCTAGCTACTACAATTGTTCATCTACGTTTTCAGCTAGCTTCTTTAGCAGTTTTTCCCCTTTTCACTAATAGTTTAAACTCTTTGTTACTGTACTGTTAGCTGACACTTTCAACTGCTAGCTATATTTACAGCTGTTGTAACTGTAAATCCATACTGTTAGCTAGCAATTACAATTGTTCATCTACGGCTGACAAGTTGTAGTTGCTCATGCGTACTTTTGGCTAGTTCTTATAGCAGCTTGACCACTTTAGCTAACAATTTCAATGTGAAGTCCATACTCTTAGCCATATTTTTAGTAAATAGTCTCCAACTGTTTTGTCACTGAATGTATTTGCCTTAACGGTAATGGTGAAATCATAGATTGGCGCATACACCACTCACATTGGGTAGGACTTCTCAGAGTTTAACTAAACAACAAACTGATGTCCTGAACCTTTGTGCATGTTCAGATGGCAAGAACCACCTAATCTGGTGTAGGTGCTTTACAGTGGACCTGAGAAAGTGCTGTCCCAGTATCGAGGTTGATGGGTTCAACTCTGAGAAGATAACAGGCACCATTTCTTCTGCCCCCTCGAAGTCGTCATTGAGTGGTCATTTTTTACTCTCTAACATCAACGTTACCAACTTAAAATTTGCTGTGTGGGCTAAAATACCAAACTCTCTATTGTTCTATTTCTTACGTGCTCAAAGGATTGGAGTTATGTCCAGTAACTACTACATGTCGTTTTAGCACATTCAATGAGCTTGGTCTACTGCGTTATATGTCCCCAGACTATGAACAGGTGGTCCTTGATAGCGTGGTACAGATGGTGGACGATATGTGCCATACACCCTTTATGCCACTGAATGCATGATTTACATTGGACAATGACTCACATCAGAAAATGACTTATCTATTCCTCATTTTAACTTGCTATTTCAACTGTTTTCTCTTAGGTTTAGCTCAGAGTTTCATTTCTTAGGATATAATGTTAGTTTACAATTTGAACTGCTAGCCATTTTCTTAGGTAACCATTTATGTATTTTTTTTGGCTGTGGCCAAACCTAGAAACTGCCAATCCAATGTCCACTGTTCCATCCAGTTTTGTTAAACTTGCTCAAACCACTTTAAGTCCCCCCAGTTCTTTAATTAAATTGTAAGATGTGTTTTTCAGCTGAGTGGAGCTTTCCTCTAGGAAAGTGTACCAGGGGTACAAGAAGCCCTGATTGGGAGTCACTGGATTATACTGGGTCTTAATGTACTGTGAATTATAGTGTAAAATATCAGTGTATGTACTAAGGGTTGACCTATCACCGGCCTGTCCGGCTATTGGATCTGTTGTTCAGCATTTTTCTGATTATCAGTATTTTAAAAAAAACCCAAAACTAAATACTAATAAAATAAGTTCATCTAAAAATGTACGACTACTTTGGCTCTGATGCAGCCAACTCTGTCATCATCAGTCTGTGCTGCACCCACAGCACGATGTGATTAGTTACATGTCGAGAGCATTGGCCGATAAACACTGAAGGATAAATGTTGAAAAGCTCTCTTCTAATTAAACATGTCTAAAGCATAAATAAACATAAGCATTTTAACTAAGCTTTTTATTGGAGTTTGTGCCATTCTATATTTTGACACCAAGAATCTCATTTTTACTGCAATTGCATAGAGGTTTCAAATTTTGGTTACTTTTTCCATTATTACGAGTATCAACCCTGGAAAAACAATATTGGTCAACCTGTAATGCCTTTTTAATGTCTGAATCTACATTAGAAAATGTTAAAACTGTATATTAATAAGGATGAATGTCAGACGGAGGTGTTTTCACCACATGGCAGCCCAACTATCAAAGCTACATATGACGAGTAAAGGACTCATGATTCATTCCTTACAAAAAAAAAACCAAAACATTTTTGTTCACAAGATTCCAATATGTGGAACTCAAAATAAAATGCCTCCTGGCCTTAAGCTGTTCTGTATGCAGTCTTGATCTTTATAGCCTCTTCTAAAAGGCAATTCTATGACATTCACTCGCAAAAAGTTGTCAAAGTGCAGAGGTGCAAATTTTCACAGTGAAAATAGTTTAAAACGATCTCACAGTTTTGTTCTGTATGCAGTCCAGGTACAAACTACACAACTGTTGCCACAGTGATATCTGCGTCTTAAGTTGAGCATTTAATTGTCAAATGATGCACATTTTGGCGAGATGAAGAGAAGATCAAAAAACACGAGGCCTGAACTCCCAGGCCTGATTGGGCAGCTGTGCTTTATGAGACTGAGAATCCTTTATTCCTTATTAGAAACATGCATCACATATTTCAACCATTTAGAAAAATATTATATATTACTTTGTTCATTTCCATTTGCAGGCAGCCTTTGGTTACCAATGTTTTCAGTATATTGTTTATATCCATAATGCTACATGTTCATTGGAACACTATCGCTAAGACATTCAAAATTGTCCAGAGTTGTGGCCTGCTTTGTAAAATAATTAAAGTTCATATGATTTATTAAATGAATTGAACATCAGGATTTCCTTTCGGATCAGATCCGACCGCTTGACCTTGATAAGTATTAAACTTCACCCTACAAGAAAGATAATCTGGCCTAATCATGACGAGAAGCTTTACCTGGTCCAGTGACGCTGTCTTTACCTAATACCAATATACACATAGTAGTGTCTTGGATTCGACCTTCTGTATCACCTCTGCATCAGCACAGTGGTCAAAAGTTACCTCAGGTAGTACTTCACTCAGGGATACTAGAAAGCGAAGTGCTGGGAATTCATTAACCTGATTAGTTTCTCCTGAAACACTTAACGAAATGCATCATTAATCTTTAATTGCTCTGTGACCTTGTCCTCTATTGTGCGCCGTTATCCTAGTCAAACACCTACATGTAGCTGCTACCTGTAACTAGACTTGACACTGATGGGAACTAGTGCTGAGACCATCCAAGCAATAATGTGATTTCATTCAACAGGTCGTTTTAAAGATCTACTTACACTGTTGGAATTAGGAAGGTTTTCAAACAGCGCCTGACCTGCGCTGACTTTGTGCTTGACCCCTCTCACAGTCCCATTTTTACTGAGTATGTTGACCCTCTTGGTGGTGAACATCCAGTCCTTGGTGGCCCCTGCATACATGAGCAGGTCGTCAGGCTCACTCTCACTGTCGTCCAGCTCAGAGCCCGGGAATCCATACAGGTGTCCTTGTGCGTCTCCAGTCGTAGAGGGTGTACTGGCTCGTTCGGCGTCGGAGCTGCTGGTGCAGTCTGAATCCAGGGAGTCTGAAGGCCCCTCATCCTTGAACATCTCCTTCAGCACCCGACCGCTGTTCCCCGAAGCCACGCGGAACCTCACCCGCTTCTGTGGCTTCTCCTGTTCTGCCGTCAGCATCGTCCCCTCCATTGCAAACCTTCTGCCACCTTACATGGTCCACAACTCTGCAGTCCAGCTCCTGGCTTCTCATTCAGAGATGAACATGCAGCTCAGACGCACTATTTTGTTTCCCATGGATTACTACCACGTTTAATCCTCGCTGTTGGAGCAGATCTAAAAACAACTGAGAGCCTGTAAGCTGCCTCACAGTCAGACTCACAGCCGGTAAATAATACATGCATTTCTACCATGGCAACCTAGCAAGCTAATCTCAAGTAAAATGATAGTTGTCTTTGAATTATTCATCACAGTTTACACAGTTTTCACCAAAGCTTTGACAGAAGACTTTTAATGGCCTGACTTCATATGCTTTAATCAAACAAATGAACATTTCCCCTTCTTGGGATGAGATGACAGACAGCACTGTGAGGAAACTTGTACGTGCCACTTTTCGAGATTCATTACCGCTGTGGAGTTACTTCTTCCCTTTAAGCTTAAGTGGATTATTCAGTTTAAAAAGTAAAACAACTAAAACAGCTACTCCTACACAGTCGACAAACATAAAAGCCTATCATTACCTTTCATACTTTTTAGCGCCACCATCAGTCGTCCACCTCTTTATTCCACACTGAGATATTTGTACTGCTGGATCGTGTCCTGTGAAATTTTGTTGACATTCATGGTCCCCGGAGGATTAAGATTTCTGATTAGAAAGATGCCCTGACTGTTCCTCTAATATCTCAACATTTTCTTGCTGAACTGACTCGAAATTTTGCGCAGACATTCATGGTTCCCACATGATTGTATTCCAGTAAGTTCAGTGTTCCTCAGACGTCATCGGGTCAAAATTCCAGCTTGACGACAAAATACCCACAAAATTAACAACATTTAAAATGCAGTACATTGTGTTAAGTGTAAATTAGCAAATGTTAACATTGCACCTTTCCAAATATCAGCAAATTAGCATTGGTGGAGCGAACATGTTAACAGGTGGTTCAAAGCAGCACTGGGCTATAGTAGAGCCCCACAGAGCCGCTGTGGTTTGTTTTAACAGTGTGCATATATGTTTACGTATGTTAATGATGGGGTTTTCGGTTCCTTCCCACTGTTGTGGACTGCTTGCGGACTGCTGAAGCTTATAGGGAATCCAGATGTTTTGGATTGTTGGGTGTTTCTGTTTCTGTTTCTGCCTTTGTGAAGCGCTATGAGATGACTTGTTGTTGTAAATATGCGCTATACAAATAAAATTGAATTGAATTGAATTGAATTGAATGAAGTGTGCTGCATTTTTTTTTGAACTTCCATCTTCTTTTGTACTTACTTTTACAATTTACATGTTTCGTCTGAGGTTTTTGGTCAGTTTTTGATATTTTCACTTTGTATTTTATTGTCGAAATGGCAAAAAAGCCCTCAAAATGTGAGCACATTTTACTTTATTTTAAATGCACAAAGTACCTGCATATTGAAATTAATTTTAGTGTCGCCAAATAGGACAGAGGCAAAAATATATGTAGATATAAAGTATATGAAGATAAATTAATGTACAAAATGAACCAGACTTAGAGTTTTATTCTAAAATTTGAATGCCTCCGGTTATAGTAACATGAGATGTCTCACCATTGCATTGAGTTTTTAGTAATTTTGCCATTTTATGCAAAAGTAGAGTGACATCTTCCTTGCACATGGCAGCATGACGTAAGGGGATATTCCTTGGCAGCCAACTGTGTTACACCCAGGGTGGGCATGCAGGTGTTCACTGGGCGTCCTCAGAGAGCACAAGAGGACCAGACCATATAAAGTGTCACAGCGGCACAATACAGCAGCGTGCCCGCAGAGACGTCTCGGCCAGTTTTTCTGTGTCACAGGTGATGAAGCAGCTCCCCGGAGATGTGACACGTCAGCTTACAGCAGTGACAGCAGCACTCTGTTTGAGTGCTGGCCCTGAGGTAAGAGCTACACAAACACACAAAGCACACACACACACAGAGCATGTCATCCCCTGTTCGTGTCACCTCCCGCTGATCATTAGAGAAAATCCATCTGGGAAAGTCTAATGTGTCAAACTAAGATTTAGTGACGTCCCGAGGCTGTAGCAGTGTTATAAGTCTGGCTCTGGTTCCAGGACTTATTGATCCAAAGTGACCCCAACTCTCCTTTAAACTGTCTTTTATTATAAGGTCATTGCAGGAGCCATTACAGTGTGGCCTGTGCAGACTTGCTGTATATTATTGCAGCTAATGGATGCATAGATTGCACTCAGGTGTCTAGACTTTCAAATTACTGCCTGGGGAGCAAAAGGTGCCTCGTTTTGTATTTTAAATCTTCTGTTAGAACTTAATTTCATCTCGCTTTTTTAATTCTTGATGATCTTTACCTGTCCTTGACTTCTGTCTCTAAGTGTCTTGAAGACCTATTTTCTCAGCGTCTCTCTGTGAATGATGTCTCTACCTAAATATTTGTGATTTCGCTCAAGGGAGTCTGCATGAGTTTGTCTTGGTTTTTCTCACTGGTGTGAAGAGGACTAGGCGCAGTTGGAAAAGCATGCTTCATTGACCAGTGTGGATTTAACACTATTTGAGTCAATTCTAATGGCAGCTGTCAGTTAAAGGGGCCCTGTGGAGTCTTCTTGTGAACAAACAAGGTTTCTGTTTACATTTAGTGTCACTCATCAGAATGCTTTGTGTATATCCTTGAGGTCTACATGTGCTGAATTAGTTTTTTCAGAAAACAGATTAAAAAATAATTAATGACTTCAATCTATGGCCCAGTCCTCATGCTCACAGACTCAGAAACTTTGAGATACCTTCTTGCTAAGTGTGTGAGGACTCAAAGTTGTCCCACTTTCAAATGGTCAAGTGCGTAACAGCTCTGCTGCAAAACTTTCAAACCTATTATGCGCTCTTTCTGTGACCCCATAGTTCAGTTAAGCAAATAATCAGTAACATGTATACTTGGCTGTCCTGCCCCGCCCAAAGAAATCTGCTGGGAAGTTTATCAGTAAGTGACAGCATCCGTCTGCTCACTGTCGTGGCTACTTGCTGCATGTATCTGGAGTTTGGATTTTTAGTCAAACATCTGCATAGATTTACCTATACTTACTACTTTGGCCCAATAGTGTGTCCCATTCCTCCTTTTTCTACCATTTTGAGCCTTTACAAACTCACACACAACAGCTGTAATGTTAATTAAGTCTGTGAGGGTTTAGTGATTAGGCCTCAGGGTGGAGATTGGGATTGGTTTTATGCCTGCACTCCAAATTGCACACTATTTCTATTTCCTTTCCACAGCTATTTTTTTTTTACAAAGTACATACTGTTGCATGGAGTCGTGCAGTATACACACAACGGGGACATTCTACTTTATCATAATATTGCGCCTCACGCTTTTACTGTCTTGCTCATGCATCTGTTGCAGTCTGCAGCGTCGAATCACCTATTTGTTCACTCTCAGGGGTGAGCGAGACACCATGATATATGGGATGTATCTTCCGCTGTGCAAAGGATTGTGGGTCGGAATGGTCAGAAAAGCATGAAGTCTTGCAAACTGCTAAATGGGACCAACTATGGTAGGATATCTGTGTATTTTTAGCACACTGTTTTTGACATACAAATACATACAAGTATTAGGGCATGCTAAATATATATATATATGTATATAATTTTTTTTTGTCAGACTATATAGTATTGGAACGAACCCCATACTCTTGGTGGCATCCCTCTTCTTTGCTGCTTGTATTGGTGGATTTCTCTGTTTATTTTTTAGCACATTACTGCCACCTGTAGACTAAATGCAATAGTGTGAAACCAAGAATCGTGCCACCTGCTCGTTAGGCTACACGCTCTGATCCAAAATGATGCAGAGGTTTGATGAAGCAGAGGAGCTAAACCTAAACTACAAATATTTAAATGTCATACAGAAAACTTTTTTTTGTAGATTTACAGGCGTTACGCTTTTGAAGTTCTTGTTGTCATTTCTCATTGCAGCCTCCTAATTTTGACTTGAATAATCTGTATTGAAACATGATTCTTGGCCTTGGCAATAAAACAAATAGCATCAAACGTCGATTGCTCTGGAAAAAGTAGGTCAGTCACCACTGACAGTCTTCACTGATCTTTCCAGTCATGATTACAATTATGGTCATTAATATAGCAGGTCAGTGTCCACTGCAGTGGGTTACACCGCCTTAATGAGCTGATAACTGGTGAGGAATATTTTCAAGGTTGGGATTTATTAGTTAGAGATACATAATCAGTTCTGTTTCTCCTTTGTACTATGACAAAAAAATATAACATTCTGAAATATTATGTTCTATTATGTTTCAGCTCTTGGCCTGCACAGGTTATAGACTCTACATTTTAAGTTTGGCAGTCAGTGTCTAGATAAAGCTGCTTATGTTACTCTACATGCCAGTCGAACACGCTGTACTTATAATTGGAATAAATCAGTCATGGTCTTTACATATCATTTTCATTTTAATTAGGTTTTTTTTTAATATTGTGAAGGATCAGTTTCTCAATCATCCTCTCCCCTCCATTCACCACACATCTTCCAGCTGAAACAAAAAACCTCCTCGGTTGGTTTCTTCCAACACAAAGCTTCACGTTGATAAAAGTACAGCGGCACTACAGTAGATGAGTCAAGATAAAACAGACACAAAAACAAGCATGCCACGTTGTTGAGCCTCCTGTATAGATAGGTGGGGACACGCTTATCTGGAGTTCAGTGAAACGTACCCACGCCATGTTGAGTCAAGCAGCCATTTTATCTCACTTTACCACATTTAGACAAGAGTGTGCTGTGATGGTGATAGTCTATTCAACCTGAAGAGCTTATCTCTCAGCCCCGCTCATCAGTAGTGCTAATGTAGCCTCAGCAGCCACCTCAACTGCTATTAAAAAAGCCATTTGAAAGGATTAATACTTTAACGCTCTTTAATTTCACTGCTGATTGTCGGCTCTGCTGTGACTGAGTGGAAAAAGTCAAACAGTGCAGGGTGATAAATGGTTTTAATTTTGTGCCGCTTGAATAAA